TGTTGTAGCGCAGAAAATAGTGAAACTGGTTTGCTTAGTAGTAAAATGTTATCGAAAAGTTTGTAACTAAATAAGTTATAGAAAGGAAAGATATAAATTTTGACAGAATAGTCATAATGTTTGATTATAATAAATGCAATGTGGAATGTCAATAAATCTGTACATTTGCATAGCAAGATTTTAGACTATGATATGAAGTCATTATTTTTTAAGGTAAAAGTAGAGTCGAGTGCATTTTACAATCTCATTTTAACGCTTTCATAAATTATTCATATTGATAATATATAATGATATATTATAAATTTATTAACAAGGAATACGAGGTTTCAGATGACAATACAAACTTGGACAAAAATATTTTGGGGTTATGATTGAAAAAGTTTCCCAGTCACTGTTCTAGACGATGAAATAAATATTTCATAATGGATAATAAATATATTAACAACAAATAAAATATGTTCAGATGCTGTGAAATGTTTTATCGAGTGATGATGTTATAAATAGTTAAGTTAATTTGCATTTATTACTTTTATTACTTTACCTACCTTACATTTGATATATATCACGTAAATTATAATCGAATAATTATTCGATTATAATTTACTTGATATATATCAAATGTAAGGTAGGTTTTCCAATGACTGTTCTAGACGATGAAATAAATATTTCATAATGGATAATAAATATATTAACAACAAATAAAATATGTTCAGATGCTGTGAAATGTTTTATCGAGTGATGATGTTATAAATAGTTAAGTTAATTTGCATTTATTACTTTTATTACTTTACCTACCTTACATTTGATATATATCACGTAAATTATAATCGAATAATTATTCGATTATAATTTACTTGATATATATCAAATGTAAGGTAGGTTTTCCAATGACTGTTCTAGACGATGAAATAAATATTTCATAATGGATAATAAATATATTAACAACAAATAAAATATGTTCAGATGCTGTGAAATGTTTTATCGAGTGATGATGTTATAAATAGAAAGTTTATTTGCTTTTGTTATTGTTATAAAAAAAGTTTACTTGATATGTATTAATAAATATCTATTAAAAAAATAATCAATATTTATGACACTTTTGTGTTTTATAAATAATCATATTTTTAATGCAGTTATATATTTGTATCATTGTTTATATTTAATAAATGAATTTCCACAAAAACATTTTTAATAAATTTACGTATATGTTCATTTCAGAAATAAATAAATAAATAAATAAATAAATTTCAGGTGTTTTATTGTTAAATAAATGACATTGATTTATGCGTTATATTATTTCAACTTCAAATCTTCAAATATTTGTGTAATATTTCAACATCAGTTATAAGTTTCAGAATAATTTAATAATTCAATAATTAATAATTCAAAATGTTCACCAGCTCTCTGTCTAATTGTATATTACCTTACCAACATTCAACAATTTGTAGGCAACATTGGTTCCAAATTTCCAAATATAGACCAATATAGACCAATGTTGGTTTACCTATATGGCCTCAATATTAAAAATGTTCAATTTTTATGACCAGCCGATATTGGTTTCAAATTTGACCAATGTAGATTTTATATTGCTTGTAGATTCAGACCATATTAATTTCTACATGGGTTTATATTTATATTTATATTTATATTTATATTTATATTTATATTTATATTTATATTTATATTTATATTTATATTTATATTTATATTTATATTTATATTTATATTTATATTTATATTCCCATGTAGAAATTAATATCGGTACAATATATTACCAATATCGGTTTTCTGTGGCCGTAATTACCTATATTGCAAAAATATCGGCGAACGTCGGTTCTGTGATGATGTCAACTAATCGATCAGGCCAACGTCAGCCGATATTGAGGCAATAATCTCTATAAGTGGCCTTGTCCAATATTGGTCTCAAACTAAAATAGAAATATTGATGCAATATTTTTTATCATCGGCTAATAAATATTGTCCCCAAATAGAAGAATAAATATTGATGCAATATTTTTTTATCATCGACTGATAAATATTGTCCTCAAACTAAAATAGAAATATTGATGCAATATTTTTTATCATCGGCTGATAAATATTGTCCTCAAAATAAAATAGAAATATTGATGCAATATTTTTTTATCATGGGCTGATAAATATTGTCCTCAAACTAAAATATAAATATTGATGCAATATTTTTTTATCATCGGCTAAAAAATATTGTTCCCAAAGTGAAATATGAATATTGATGCAACATTTTTATCATAGGCTAAAAAATATTGTTCTCAAAGTGAAATATAAATATTGATGCAATATTTTTTTATCATCAGCTGACAAATATTGTCCACAAATTGAAATAGAAATATTGATGCAACATTTTTTATCATCAGGTACAAAATATTATCGTCAAATTGAAAAATAAATATTTATGCAAAAAATTTTATCATCGGGTACAAAATTTTTTATCATAAGCTAATATTGTCCTCAAAATAAAAAATAAATATTGATGCAAAATTTTTTTACAATTGACTATTAAATATTGTTCTAATGTTAATAATAAATATTGTTTCCCACAGTAGAGGTTTGTTTTCTTGGGAAAATCCACATTGCTAATTATATGTTTTGTCGAATTTTGTCATTCTGAATCAAATTAGCCCAAATTTTTAAAAAAAAATCTTAATTATTGTTATTATATTTAAAATAAAAAACAAAAGTCTTGTCTGGAATCGAACCTGAGACTACGAGGATTAGAAGCAGCATCGCTAGCGCTTAGCTAACGGGCCATGCGGAACGAAAACAATATACGCCAGATATATGAATTGAAATATTTAAGCATGTGATTATTCACTCATATTCCATGCTACAAGCTAAAATGTAAAAGATACGTAAAAAGTTTATTCAGACGAAAGATGCGGAATAAAATTACGAATAAAATGATATATAATTCAATATGTGTGTTCATATAATTATTTTCAGATTTTTTAATTTTTCTTGAATTTTAGCACTGCAACTCGCCCATAGGCCAAACCGTTTGAAATACGGAATTGTGATATATGAAAGAAAAATTAAAAATTTTGAGACGATTCTAACAATGTATAATACTTTATATGGTTTATCTTTGACAATGTGAATTTGGAATTTTTTCTTAAATTACAGGAGTCTAAATAGCTTATTTTCCAAACGGTTTACAATACGAAATTTAGTTGTATGAAAGAAAAACTAAGTATTCTAATACAAATTTAATAATGAATAATAATATATATTGTAGTTTCTTTACAAATTTATTAAATATTTTGAATTTAATAAAGCTATGAGTTTTCTATTTTTTGGCGCGGACGAATACGTTTCTAGTACATTCTATGATTGACGCGCATTAATACTACAAAATGGTTTTTTAATCATAGACAAGCCACTTCTTAGCGTCACTTGACAAAATGTGTTTTATATTCGATTGTAAATAGTCAAATTATGTTTTAATTTAAAAAATAGTGATAATGTGTGTATGTGCGTAGGTTGTGTTATAAGTTATAAGTTATAATAAAATATAACAGTGAGAAGTGTTGTGCCGTGTCTCATGTATAATTATATTTGTCTGAAGCTGAAATTTTCGAGTATATTTTCAACAAGATTTGCATGTCTTCAATAACATTTTTACACTAAGATTTTCCAATTTGATCAGGAGTTTAACAGCGTTGAGAAATCTGCCGTATATATTATGTGAAATATATTACAGACATCAAACATAACATAACCTAATTTCTGGCAAGGATTTTACGAGGTTATACTACCAGGTGAATGCATATAATACTTCTGAATATTATTCTGTCTATACATTTAAAACTTATACTTACTTATTTTCAGGAAATAATGATATAGTAGAGAGAAAAAATTTCTATACTTTCATATTTATAAAAGGTAAGCTTCAATAGTTGCTATAATATAATTATTTCCTTCTGCATTTAAAACGCATTCTTATTTATTTTCAGGTAATATTGTTGTAAGCGCAGAAAATAGAGAAACTGGTTTGCTTAGTAGTAAAATTTTATCGAAAAGGTTTTCATCAAAAGTTTGTAACTAAATAAGTTATAGAAAGGAAAGATAAATTTTGACAGAATAGTCATAATGTTTGATAATAATAAATGCAATGTGGCATATGTCAATAAATCTGTACATTTGCATAGCAAGATTCTAGACTATGATATGAAGTCATTATTTTTTAAGGTAAAAGTAGAGTCAATTACATTTTACAATCTCATTTTAACGCTTTCATAAATTATTTATATTGATAATATATAATGATACATAATAAATATACTAACAAGGAATACAAGGTTTTAGATGACAATACAAACTTGGACAAAAATATTTTGGGGTTATTCGATTATAATTTACTTGATATATATATCAAATGTAAGGTAGCTTTCCCAATGACTGTTCTAGACGATGAAATAAATATTTCATAATGGATAATAAATATATTAACAACAAATAAAATATGTTCAGATGCTGTGAAATGTTTTATCGAGTGATGATGTTATAAATAGTTAAGTTAATTTGCTTTTATTACTTTTATTACTTTACCTACCTCACATTTGATATAATCAAGTAAATTATAATCGAATAATTATTCGATTATAATTTACTTGATATATATCAAATGTAAGGTAGGTTTTCCAATGAATGTTCTAGACGATGAAATAACTATTTCATAATGGATAATAAATATATTAACAACAAATAAAATATGTTCAGATGCTGTGAAATGTTTTATCGAGTGATGATGTTATAAATAGGAAAGTTTATTTGCTTTTGTTATTGTTATAAAAAAAAGTTTACTTGATATGTATTAATAAATATCTATTTAAAAAATAATCAATATTTATGACACTTTTGTGTTTTATAAATAATCATATTTTTAATGCAGTTATATATTTGTATCATTGTTTATATTTAATAAATGAATTTCCACAAAAACATTCTTAATAAATTTACGTATATGTTCATTTCAGAAATAAATAAATAAATAAATAAATTTCAGGTGTTTTATTGTTAAATAAATGACCTTGATTCAGGCGTTATATTATTTCAACTTCAAATCTTCAAATATTTGTGTAATATTTCAACATCAGTTATAAGTTTCAGAATAATTCAATAATTAATAATTCAAACTGTTCGCCAGCTCTCTGTCTATGGTATATGGTCTACCAACATTCAACCATTTGTAGGCGACATTGGTTCCAAATTGCCAAATATAGACCAATATAGACCAATGTTGGTTTACCTATATGGCCTCAATATAAAAAATGTTCAATTTTTATGACCAACCAATATTGGTTTCAAATTTGTTGAATGTAGATTGTATATTGCTTGTAGATTCAGACCATATTAATTTCTACATGGGAAATTTTATATGGAAACCAAACTGCCTTTAAAATTACGTCATAATAAGCGGTTGTCAATATATCCGGCGTCATACTAATCGGATTCTACTGTATATATATATATATATATATATATATATATATATATATATATATGAGTGAGTTCTTGAGGGTGATACATCAAACAAAGAAAAGGCAAAGATTTATAAAATAATCTTTAATTCCAAACGTTTCGACATTCAATTTAATGTCATCATCAGTGGATCTAAAAACAGTATAAAAATTGATATTGATTGATATCCAGGGAAAACGGTTCTTAGAATTTTGCCCAATAATGCTCTATTTATAGGCGCCAAGTTTATCTCGGCGCAATATCGCACATATTGGGCATAAACCGAACCCCTTGGAATAGAGCACATTTTCCCCCTTCCAGCTAGCTCCAAACGTCTCCTCAGCCATAATTTCTAGCAGAAATCATGAAATTTCAATAAGGGATTCTATGGATCATTTTACAATCCTGATTAAATTAAAAGCAGTAATTCATAAAAACTCAGGGCAATTGTGTCATGATTTTTGACTGCGATCCTAGAAATGTTATTTACAATTACGAATCCAAAGTTTAAATGAACAAAACCAATAAAACTAACCGCAATAAACAAAAAATGGTCACAATTTTACCAGAACTCTGGGTTGCTCTCAAAAACACAATTTCAAAACATTTTGAGATAAAAAATATATTCTTTAGGACAGTTACACACATGAGCTTCGTTTTGGTTTGACATTGAGATCTGAGACATCCTGCATATATCGTATGTGTGTGTGTACATATATTGGTATAATTATTTACGTTTTAAATCGAAATTTCATTGCCATAAATTAATTGTTGTAACACTGAATTTTTAATGTTATATCAAAATATTTAATATTATTAATGCGTATTTTTTAAGTTCAAAATATTAATATTCAGAACAATTTAAAATGAACTAAAACAAGCTGCAAAAAAAGGGGAGTTAAAAATAAAGTTCATTCTTTAAAGAAACTCCACTGATCTGTAAATTTTATGTCATCCTGTGTGCTGATTTTATTATTTTTAATTAATATTCAATCTATTTTCCTTTTAATATAATAAATGAATAAACTTACAGCATGCTCCGAAGATGAGCATCCTCCTGTGGTACTAGAAGAAACCGTCGGCGATTGCTAAAAATAGAGGACAAATATGTTAGAAACATTTTTCATTCAAAGATCATTTTAGCCTAGCTTAGACTTTATACAATATTTTAGTTATAATTTTTAGTTACAATTTGTCCCGTAAATTTGTATTTTGTTTATTAATTCTTCGCACCTCCTGTATCAAAATTTTTGATGTGTTATACATCTTATAGGCTCCAGGTGTCAAGGCATTGCTGCGTTTTTGTTTGACACTCTGCAATAGTTTAGTTTATAAAAATACAAGTAATTAATATTATTGTAATTTTTGAATGCATATACCACTGGCGTAAATCTAATTGATGATTTTAGAAACATCCTTTGTCGCTTAGGGGGGGTCCAATTTATTTCGAATTAAATTTGTGCATAATTACCTGTGACCAGAATCTCTCTTATATGACAACTCCCTTATGTCTTCCTTCATTTCATTAATTTCATATGATAATTTGTATAGAGTGTTCATGATACTATCCAACTTGTACTCTGCGACATATTGAGACGAATGAATTTGTTTATTGGAGTTTAAAAGATTTTTATAAATAGTTTAAATATATAAATTTTAAATAATGTACGCATCTTCATATTGGGACTCTCCTCTACTTCTCCATGTTCAATTTCACATATCACTTCTGCAATAAATATTAACATGAATGTTTTGTTGAATGATCTGATATAAAGATATTAAATAATGTACCTTTCTCTATATTGGGGGTATCCTCTATTTGTTCGTTTTTCGTTATATGTAGCTACACATCTCTCCGTGACAATTTTTGTATTTCACAGTATCAGGAAGGGGCTTACACCCCTTAATTATTTTATGAACCTTCAATAGAGAAATAGTTTGTTTTCTGGGCATTGAGAGCCCACAAAGAAGGTATATGTCCATATTTATCCTCCTTATCGTAAATTTCGACATCCTATGTAGGCTGCGTGTTTGGCGCGAACAATTTCATTATTTGTACAAAATTCAACTGAAGATGAGTGAAACAATACTCTGATGACAATTTTTTTAATGGAAATCTTATCAAGGTAATACTTATTAAAGTATTACCAGGTTGTAGTACTAGTGGTGCACCATGTAGAGAACTCAAAATCCAAAACATATCAATAAAATACTAGCATTGTAAAATGCAACATCAAGTTATACATCTTGAATTTAAAGAATATTCAAATATTCTTATATTCAAATTTCTTATTTCTATTTGGTAGAGTGTTGCATGCCAATCCACTACATAAAAAGCATAGATCGTGTTTTAGTAAATCTAGAAAATTGTTAGAATGTGACATTTTTTTAATTATTTTTTAAATATTGAACTGCTTAGTTACGTGTGCTACTATGTTACATATAATTTTATTTGCTCATGAGTTTCTTGTTAAGCGAAAATAAATCTAAAGAAACAAACGCGTTAGTAAATCAGTATGTAATGTATTGTAAATTTGTCGGTAGTTTTCTTGAATTGCGATTTTTTTCGAAATCAATGTTGTGATAATAAAACTAAATAATGTGTGATTTAGTCTTTGAATATGTAAAATTAGTTAAAATATTTAGCAGTCACAAAGAAACTTTATTTGTTGAATGCTAACAAAACAAATTTGGAAATAAAATAAATAATTCAGAAAAGAAAATAGAATTAATATTAAAGAAAATAATAGGAAATGTTAAGATAATAGATATTTGTAATCGATTTTATTTCTCCTTTGGTAATAGGAGTATTATAAAAGGAATGAAAAATTATTACGTACATGAAACAAGAGATAATGAATAAATTGAAGTAAAAGAACTGTTATTGAGGTTCAACAATAACTAACGATAATAACGAAATTGCGAATCTATTGGAACCAGAATAATTGAGAATTTTTGGAAGTAAAACAAGATGGTAAACAATATGATTAATATTTACTATAATTACTCATTAATCTCAATATGACAGACGATATGAATATTTGAAGAGAGCATAGGTTTGCTCCTACGTAAAATAACATGAGCATATAACATGTCATGGAAGGAATTAACTTTGATTGAGACAAATGCATAACACGAGGATTTAGTGTATAATACACGGTACTTCATATACAATTTTTATTTTGATAGTGTCAGGAATTATGATTTATTTACATTACAATTTTCTTGGTCTATTTGTTGAAGAATCACACATGACAATGAAAAAGGAAATTTGATTTATAATGATCATTGTGATGGCAATGATTCGATGGCTTTATTGTGCCAAACTATTTGAAAAATCCAAATAGAAGTTATTTCCAACACAGTCAAGGACATTTATGTCTTTATGATTGTGAACTATTCAAAGTAGTTTTCGACCAAATAGAAGATACCGATCTGGATTTACATTATTAACCAAATATCAAATTTGAAGCGGATGCAAAGTATGAATACTTCATACTTCATACTTCAACATT